GACTTGAGACCAACTCGAGTTGGAACCAGAGTCATGGAATGGATTAAGTTCGTAACTAGAGGTACCACTGTACATCTGTCTGTATTTTTCCCATACTAAACTGAAGGCAAACAAAGCTCTGTTTTTTGCAAGCTTATTCTGGAAGCCTTGAGTTTGGAATGCATTACCTTTGGAGTGATGCAAACTGGATTGAGTGTTTCCAGCACTCCAGACTGGAGCCCTGAAGAATAATGGATGGTTTCGGAATCCAACTCTTTTTCCTAATTCAGGCATAGCAGACAGTAGTGATTTTAAACGCATGTGATCAGCAATGGTACCTGTCCCATTCACCACTATGACTTTGTTCCAGGTTCAGATATATGAGATTGAGGAACACAAAATTGAAACTTGGAGAGGTAAGCAGGGTACCCCTAAGAGGAACTGGGTATGCATAAATGCAATTTAACCTTGTTAACATTAGTTAACATCAGTTTGCACCGTAAATGTGAATGCTACATTTATGTCTATTTACATGTATTCAGCTTAGATTAAAACCATTCTTTAAATTCAGAGTTAATTGTCCGATATTCTCTTACTAGGCAAATGGTTGCTAATGGTAGAGATATTATTTGGCTGCATCCTGATGATGATGATGTCATGCCATCCTTACATCCTTCCTTTTACTTTTTCTATGCTGGCCTTACAGTTTGGTTTATGTTATTCTAATTAGACTCCAGAGGTATATGGGCTACTAATGCTGGTCTGTTATTATCCTAATTTTTTTTTGAAAGATAAGGAAATTCTACTGCAGATTACATAAGGCCATTCTGACAAATTCAGCTTGTACTGTTGAAAGAAACCGTACTTATTACATTATCAACTACACTTTCATTAACTATATGCTATCCAACTGTTTCCCTTTCTCCCCAGAGGTGTATTTGCAGGGTTCCTTCAAGCCTTTGGTGCACATCTCTCCAAATGACAGGTAAGTCAAGCATTTCCCATATATGACTTCCCACACAGGCAAGAGCAGGAAAGCATCTTCTCTTTGTAAGAGATTTGTCAACCTTCATTCTCGCCACTTATAGCAAACAACTTCACTCTGCCCTACACTACAAAACCCTTGTGATTTTGTGGCTGTCAAAGAGAAATCTGAGAGAAGTCTGGGGGATAAAGTGGGATATCTGGCCTAAGGAGGAGAGCCAGGGATGCCCTAAAAGAATCTATAGTGTCTTATAGTTTTATCAGCTGATAATCAGCAGAAAAAAAATGGATGTTCTCCCCATGATCTCACCATAAAACATTTATTTCTGGCTAGTTGAGTACTCCAAACCTCTGTCCATAAAAGGGAGTAACTCTTGCTGTCCTTCAGCTGGTATTCCTTCACATACTCCTCCACCCTGAAGTAAGCCAGAGATGAGGAGGTTTCCAAGCCCATTGCCAGGCACATCACAGGCCCTCGGGTGTCTCTCCTTTCTCCCCCTTCTAGCCTCTTCGATGCAGTTTATTCCTTGATTAAGAATAAGATCCACCGGCTGCCTGTGATTGAGCCCATCTCGGGGAACGTCCTGCACATCCTGACCCACAAGCGCATCCTCAAATTTCTGCATCTCTTTGTGAGTGCTGGATGTCTAGGAAGCCTGAAGTGCTGCTGTGTGGGCTGGTTCTACTGAATTCTTTCCTTAAGGGTTTGTTTATCGAGATGGTACTAGCAATGCTTGTGGTGCTTTTGAAAAGTTGAAAGTAAAGTCTTTTTTGGGTTGAGCATAACCCTTGATGTCTTCATGGGCACACAGGTCCATACCTGCCTTCAAGATGTTCACAGTTTGAAACAGGGAAAAGTGCTAGGGACAGGAAGGAGTGAAGGGTAAAGGTGGGCAAAGTTATTGCATTTATTTAAAACGTGGCTACTTGTGGAAAAAGTGGCATTTAGAGAAAGGGCTAGGGTGGCATCTAACTTAAGGGTAGGATCTAGAATGAAGGAAGCTATTCCATACAGAGGGAGACAGGAAAGGAGTGGATAGAATTGTGATTGATAGAAAGGGCCTTGTGGCTATAACTTTGGCATCTTCTGTTCCATAGCATCTGGATCTGGTCTGGCATGGAGATCTCTACACCACAGCTATGGTTATGAGCTGAAAGTATATTGTTGGCCAAAAGCTCTTTCATGAAGCATTGAGTACAGAATTACACTTCTCCTTCTCTCTGGGTTTGAATACTGAATTCAGAATTGTAGACGGGCTCTTCCTCTTTATGATCTGTGTCGAAGCCTAAAGGTTCTTTCCTCCTCAGACCCAAATAATTATCTGTCTTTTCTTATTTTATCCCTGAAGGGAGTTTGATCAGGAATGCTAATGTTTTGGAAGGAGAACAAAGAAATAAGAGGAGTACCACTGAAGTGAACTGAAGCTGCAGAATAAGGATTCAGATTTCCCTTTGGCACAGGAAAATGAAAATTGGTTTGATGATCATGGAAGAAGAATTATTTAGAACTGGAGACAGAAGGCTGAAATTGGAGGAACCTCTTGCCTTCTGATGAACCCCTTCTATTTTGGTGTCTTTCTCTCTTATGCTGGTTGATCTTGCAGGCTTCCTTGGCAATATCATTACTCTGAATCAGCTCTAGTCAGCTAGGAACTGCCACCTTAAACTTCCACATGTTCCAAGAATGTCTCAGGAGCATTGTGGGAGTCAAAATAGTGGCTCCCAACTGGGGGCCTTAACAAGGTGCTTTGTAGCCACCTGAGATTGCCATATGCCAGTGCTATTTAAGGCCATGTTGTCTTTTACAAGCTTTTTGGATACAGAGAAATGTTTATAGATCTTGCAGTAAGAGGAAATGCTAATCTGTACTGCATATTAATGCTTTTGCCCTAGACCTCTGCTGCTGCTTTAAGCATTTGTATCCATGTCCCTCCACTGTGGGCAAAGGAGAAGGACAGGGTTGGCTTCCACAATAATCCTTTCTTTTTCTCATTGTAGGGAGCCATGCTTCCAAAGCCACGCTTCCTGCAGAAAACCATCTATGAGCTGGGCATTGGTACCTTTCGTGACATTGCAATCGTGCAAGACTCAGCCCCTGTCTATACAGCTCTGGAGACTTTTGTGGACCGCAGAGTCTCGGCGCTACCTGTGGTGAATGAAAAAGGTGTGGGGAAATCTCTGTCTGCCTATGCAGTCTTTGCAGTGCCAGCTCAACCCTGACCCTCTTCCTCCCATGCTTGAGCATAGCTAACGCAGCTCCCTCTTTCTACGGAATCCTAAAACTGAAAGGTACCCCCAAGGAAATCTAGTTCAAATCTGTTAAAGCATTTCAGACAGATGGTTACCTGGCCTCTGCTTGAAGACCTCTAGCGAGGGGAATGTTTCACTTCATCAAGCAACTATTCCGCCAGTTGACAGTGCTTATTCTCAGGAAAGTCCTCCTAATAACCCTAACCTGAATCTACATTCCTATAGTTTCAACATATTGGTTCTACTCCTGCCCTCTGCAGTGACAAATAACAGATCCACTCCCTTCTCTGTATGATAACTCTTTAAATATTTGAAGATTGAAATCCTATCTCCCCTCAGTCTTCTCAGGCTAAACATATCCATTTTCTTTAACTGGTCCCCACAGGACTTAGTTTCCAGTCCTGTCACCATCTTGGTAGCCTTCTCTGAACTTGCTGAAGTTAGTTGACGTCTTTCAGACTACGGTGCCCCAAACTGGACAGTGTATTCCAAGTGAGATCTGACCAAGGCAAAGTAGAGTGGGACAATTCTGAACTTAAAAATTATACTTAGCAGTTCTGCAGTCACCTCCACTAGTTCTTTGACCTTGGAGATTTCTACCCCTAAATGAGGAAAGTAACTATAGGTGCATCATGAAATTATGTAAATTGACCTTGTCCAACCTGGTGCCCTCCAAAGGTGCTGTCATTGCCAAGTGGGTGAAAATGCACTCTAATCATGGCTAAGATCCTTAGCTCCTTGGGGAGGGTGCTTATCTTCAGCTCATACAAGCCCCTGAAGTTGATTGCCATTTCCTTGGAGAAATGCTCTCTGTGCTGTCATAATCAAGAATAACTGTGATGGTCAATCCTCCAGCCATTCAGAGTTATCCATCAGGAGCTTGAATAGTTTCCTCTTTTTGCTGCCTCCTCAGTTCTGACACATGGTAGGTTTAAGTTTGGATTAATTGTCACAAATTATGAATCCTGCTTCATCAATATTTATTACTGTATGTGGCAAAGTCAGCATGCTTGTTACAATCTATTTTTCTGGGCCATTTCCATCTCCTCTTCCCTTCCTCCTCTCAATACTGTATTTCTGGAGCTCTCCAATTTGCTGCTGATTTACATTTGGGCTGCTCTCCCTTGATATTTAGTTCCCAATATTATCACATTTCATTATCCCTTTGCTTCCTGTATGAAGGATGATGCTGTCTTCAGTGCATCCAGAGTTGGTGGTTGACTAGATACTAGAGTTTGATGCTAACTCACAGCATAACCCTAAGCATCCCTACTCAAAACAAGTCCACTTAGTTCAACAAGTCTTCTTCTTGGGTATATGACTGCAGCCTTAGTCTGGATTCAAGCTTATCACTTTAAGATAGGGAGGGGTGTTTCAGAACAATCCTTGGGGTCCTTTTAACACCATGAAAAATAAAATTGGCCCCTGTAAATGCTGACATTATCAGGGAAGTAGAGGAGAACTTTGTCATTTCTTGATGGAATTGCCAAAAAGCAACAATTTGAATCATGGTGATTAATAAGATGCATAGTAATGAGATAATGAATATGCAGCTAATTTAACCCCGTTGTACACTAAAGTAATCCTTAACTCTATTAATGGTTGCTAACAACCTATTTGGCAAATACTGAAAAAGGGAATTTCTTCATAAAATATACCATAGGGATAACTTTTCGTTAAGTGGATAATGTTGCTTTTCCATTCTTAGCTTCATGCTATAGGGCAGGCCTGGAAATTCTTGATGAAATTATGAAAACATGTTCAATGTTAGGTCCGATCAAGATTTTTGATGAAAGTTTATTTTCCTGTTGCAGGAAAATCTGTTAGCTTTTTCTGTGATGTCTTTCATGCATATGGAATCTCTCCTTAATTCATTTCACCTGGAGAGATTCCTGACCTGCTGTTCCCTTCTGTCTCTTATACAGGCAAAGTAGTTGGCCTCTATTCCCGCTTTGATGTGATTGTAAGTATGGGGCAGTTACTCTTCCAGGTTCAGATGGTCTGATAAACAGAAGGATCGTATTTCCCCTAAAGGAAGATATTCCCAAATTTAAGACTGTGCCCGATCCCCAAGGGAAGAGTAGGTAGATAGATATGTAGATACAGATTTAGATGTAGATATAGATATATAAAAGTCAGCTTTCTTTACCAGTTTTTTCAAAAAAAACCTAAGCTAACTCTCATTTTAAAGATAAATTATTTGGGAACAAAGTTTTTGGATAAATATACTAAGAAGAACTAATCTAGCAAGGGTTCACATAGAGTTTGACACCTGAATGTGTATGTGGTAGGGAAACAGCAATTCTTAACCAAAGCTATGTTGTTCGTGTTGTTCGACTTTTAACTAACTCACACATGTGTGAAAGAGAAGCAATGTAAGGACAATGCTTCCAGATGAAGCTTCTGTTGTCATCTGCCCCATTCATGGAATTCTACAGTGAACTAGATGAATAATCATTTTACTATGGTAATTTTGTTTCCACAGAAAATTCATTATAGAGTGACAGGGTTCCTCATCACACTAGATCATATTGTTTTTAATTTGGTTTTGACTTATTGTGTTGGGTGTACCCAGCCTTTGAAGTCTGTAAAGCTGTCAGGTATGATTTAGTTTGTTAGAAGCCAGCCAATTCTAGTTTGCCTGATAAACCATGGTTAAGCAAATCATGGCTTAATGTGACATATGAGTGTACCATGAATTAGTGTGTCAGTATGGGGTGATTGTGCTAAGGCCTTGTTTCAAAGAATTAGAAGTGCTGTCTGTCACTATTCTCTCACCTTAACCGTGTGAGATCAAGGTGGCCATAATCTGTGGTAACGCCATGGCCCCCCCTTTCCTCCAAACCCCTCCTCTCCACTTGCTCTCCATAGCATTTGGCTGCCCAGAAGTCTTACAACAACCTGGACATTAGTGTGGGGGAAGCCCTGAAACAGCGCTTGGTCTGCATAGAAGGGGTCCTTACATGCCACCCCTATGAAACACTAGAAGACATCATTGATCGCATCGTCAAAGAGCAGGTATGACTGCAGGCTGGTAGACAGGAGTGGGAACCTGCAGGGCAACGGTAGGGTACATTCATGCCCTTCTTTCCCCAGATGTCCTCAATGTGTGTCCTTTAGAACCAAGGCCTTTTGCCTACTAAGTCATGCCCGAGGTATGGTTTTCATCCAACCATTCTGAAACCTGTCTCCTGCCTTTTATTGACATGTGTTCAATAAAAACACGTGTTTTTATTGACACGTGTTCAAGGAACAACATAGGCTCACCTAGCCTGCTCTTTTTCATATGGAAAAGACCATGACTACAAATAGTAGATGAATGGATGGGTGTGTTTGGGTGCTGCAGATGGATCTTTATTTTACACTCTAATCCAGTGATGGATGGGCAACTTTTGCTACATCTGGACTTCTAGCTTTTTTTTTTCTTCCTGGCAGCCTCCAAGATTTGAGCACAAAAATGCAAATTATGGCATTACTATTATTATTATTGGTTGCAAACATACAATACAGCAAGATGCTGTTGCAAATCCAAGCTGATATGGTGAAAGCATCTGATTACTACTAACTTACAACCCTCCATGAACATCCTTTTAAGTAGTAGTAGTAGTAGTGCTTTATTACAGTCATTGACCAACTCAAAAAGAAAAAGAAAACTTATGAGAAAGTAAGTACAAATCACAGTAAAACCCAGTTATAAAACTGGCGGGGGTCAAAATATGATGCGTTTTACAAATAATAGAACAAAACAACCACTTTAAAATAAATGAAATGGCACTAATTGGATAGTAACACCTGTAAATAAAATGGATCCAGACAATTTGGAAATCTAACTAGATGGGGGGTTATTAGCTCTAACTGGGATCCTTACAATTAGAGCAATATAAGAAAACACAGGATGTTTCAGGAACTCGATCACAGGGACAACATCCTTTTTTAAAAAGTGTAATTTGTAACCATACAGCTTGGTTTGGAAAGAAAATTCCATGTTTTCTTTCAGCACAGTGCATCTGTTCTTTTCCAGGTCATTGGAGATGACTGATGCAATAAGGCCTACTTGCTGCTGTGCCACGTGTATAGTATTTCTATATACCTGCCACCTACTCTTCCCCCAGAATGCTCTGATCCCTAAACAGATTGCACCAACCACAGTACTTTCACTTCTATGAATGGTATCTTTTCTCTCTGGTCTCTAAAACTCATCTTTACTGTCCTGTTCCTATTTTTGCCATGATGGTGTTTGGCTCACTCGTTGGGCAGGTCCATCGCCTGGTTCTGGTGGATAAGAAGAACGCTCCACGGGGGATCGTGTCCCTCTCTGACATTCTCCAAGCCCTGGTGCTCACACCTGCAGGTATCGATGCCCTAAACTCTTAGCTGATCGACGCTCCATCCTTCTTCCATTTGTACCCTCCATTTCCTCCACTTCTCTCCAGCTCAGGTAGGCCCCATGCCTTGGCCTCTCCAGCCTGTTTCCTGCTGCTGCTGCTCGTTTTTAACTTGCTGCTGGGTTTCTTATGTCCATCTGATCAAGCCAGGTCTGTATTCCTACTCTGTCTAGCACCAGACTCCTGGCTTGGAAGGGAGGCCAATGCAGTGGAGGTATAGTAGTGTAGAAACTTTGTCGGGGGGGGGGGGCATTCATTCTAAAAGACAGAATCTCATCTTCTAATTTTATGATTCCAAAATTAAATGCAAGCTTTTAAGTTCAGTTGCTTTTCTTTTAGTCCTGTGGATTTTATTCTTTTATTCATTTGCTGATTGCATAACTCACACTGATAGGGTTTTGCTATAAGAAGAGAGATAAAGGCTTTTGGCTTGCTCTGATGCAGGCAACAAACCGAGCAACATGTGTCAGAAAAGTTCTGAGTGTGTGCGCGTGAGAGAGAGACATTTATTTATTTCTGCAGAGCACTAATAAATTAGTTGCATATTATATCCATTTCTAGCAGTAAACAATGAATCCTCAGTAACAGAGGAAGTTACAACTAGGAAAAGAAACCATATGGAGCCTTCTACCTTCTTTCTTGAAATCCCCCACCAATGCTTGGTGTTGAAGTGTCTCACACATTGCACAGCTCTGGACTCTCTTGGCTACCACTAGCTTGTGAAGTAGTAGTCCCACAGGAAACGTAAAAAAAAAAAAAGCGTAATTCTCTTAACAAGCATTAAGAAAGCTGCATCATTTTAGCTGTATGGTTATTGTGAGAGTTTGGCCACATGCATATCAGCTGCCCCAACCAAAGGCTTTTTCTTACCTTGTTCCAATGTGCTTGATTTTCAGTGAGCCTGATGCCATGAATTCCTATTTCCCACTACCTAGCTGTATTTGTGCCCATTTGTATTTGTGTGCTCAGCTGGCTGGGATGGATTTGAAGATAGAGTTTGTCTATTGGTAACAATTCAGCTGGCTATTCCCAGTATGCCCTCCCACCTTCCAAAATGCCAAGGTTTTTAGACCTAGAGGTATGGAGGGGAGAGTTTTATGGATTTCTCTTGGAATATCCATGCTTTCTCAAGTACAAGGAAAAAGCAGTAGATAATGTTGCTTAGGTATTATCCTTTCTTTATATACACCATCCTTGCTTGAAAATTTACCCATTGAAACATTCCAGTACAGTACTCAAAACAGAGCTAAAGCTATGAGGCAAAGGCCTTTCTCAATCACAGTCGGAGTTTCTCCTTGATTCATGGTTTCATGAAGTCAGCCATTAAATGCTGCATTTAATTAAGGCAAAATCTAGGACTATACCCAACATTGTTGACTGAGACCTGTGCCCTGTTTTTCCGTGAAGTGCCTAAACAGGTGATTTATACTTACAAATTGTCACCTCACTATATATATTTTAGGGCTATCTTTAATCCACTGGAGCAATAGAATGCCATTTAAGCAGAATAAAGTCAGCTTGCTCAATTCTCTTCATTTTTTTTAAACCCAAAATTCCACCTTCCAGAATCTGGAATGAAACACAAATCTCAGAGACCTGTCTGACAAATCCTTAATTACCTGAAAGCTCCTTTCATTTCAGTAAACTAATTTAGGTGTGAAAAAATGAAATATTTTATTGTTGCAACTATTAGTCAGAAACTCTTTCCAGTCTACTGCAAATCATCCAGTAACCTATGAATAGTTGTCCCAGTCTTCCTGCTTTACCATGGATTAGCAATTTGGGGCAGACCAGATCAGGAATCAGACTCTGCAGGAAAGCTAGAACTGTACTGTATTGAGATAGGCTGTAATAACAGAATCTTGTGTGAGAGGAAAAATTTAGTAGCCTTTTGGCTGTGCTTTACCTCCCATGCCTCTTACATCCCAGTGAATCAGGGAGGAGCCTACCTGGGTCTCTTCCAAATACCATCTTGCTTCCCAGGACTTAAGGAATGTTTCAGCCCTCCTTGCTTGCAGAACAATTCTTGCCTATTTCCCTTGAAGGCATTGACCTGACTCTACATCAGTGTTTCTCAACCATGGCAACTTTAAGATGTATGGACTTCAACTCCCAGAACTGGAGTTCCCAAATCCACACATCTTAATTGCCAAAGTTGAGAAACACTGCTCTACGTCATGTAATTATTCTTTGATCTTACAATGTATTGATTTAATGCAACAAAATCCAAGGTCGTCATCGTGACTTCAGTCTCAGCGAAGTACCTACTAATGAGCTGATCAGCAAAACAGGCATTTTTAAACAGGGAGGGGGGAGTACGTGTACTTGAGGATACCGTTGTAGTAGCCTGACCTGCATTCTCCCCCAGAACTGTACTTCTCAGCAAGACAACCAAGGGCAGGCTCTGTCCTGTAGGACATACCACCTTGTGCTGCTTCTCAGAAGCATCATGCCCCTTTGCAAGCCAAAGAGCAGCAAAGGGCTGGCTCGCTTTCCTACTAGATTACATTAACTTTTATTAATTCCATTCCGCAGGCATTGACCGCTATTCCCTCTGACAGCGTGCAGGACTACTTGCTACTTGATCTACTGCTACTGCATCTATGGCTCAGGGAAGAGAAGCTCTGACAGTGATGAAGAAGGCCTTGCATCCCCACAGCCAACACTGGAGCCTCAACTGCCAGTTCCTTCCTCTCAGTGAACCAAGAAAGTTGAGAGGAGACCTGAGGACGACAGATGCTCTAACCTCAGAACTGCAAACAGAGATGTTCCTTCTTCATCCCTACCAATATACAGAAGCAGTCTGCTACAAGTGGGGGGTGGGGGGATGTTGTGAACACTGCATCTGTTGCTTGCCTCCTCCCCTCAGCCTCACTTACTGGAGGAGATTGTATACAAAAATCCAACATGCCTCAGGGCCTCTCTTGCTTCAGCTGGGAAAAAATTGCTAGAGGCAACATCTACTGCTTCAGGTTAGAGGCTAATCTGGAGGGTTCCTTACCCTCCCTGCAGGATGATAGGAGGGAAAAAAGACCACTCATTGGAGATGGATTAATTCGAATCTAAAGCCAGATTCCAGATCTTGAAAAGGATTAGGCTGAGCTACTTTGAAAAGATTGCAGATTTTTTCTTAGTACTTAAAATAGGCTTACGCCTTGCTTTGTTATTTCATGGCACTGAACCACTTGCAAGGCCCAAGACCTGCCTAAGAGAATTGCTACAAGGTAGGCAAGGCTCCTAAGGCGGTAAACTCTTAAGCATCTATTCAACATATTTGGCCCTGTTCTGAAACATATTCCCTCATCAGCAGGAGATGGGTAGAGGTGGTTTCACCATAAATGATTCATCTTTCCTCTTAAGCCTGCATTATAAATCAAGGTGGTGTTTCTGTGAAACTCTAGCACATGGTAACAAAGGCTGTGCCAGGAGGAACACAATGAGGGAAAGCTTTCCTCCAGGACAGGATATGATTTTTGCTCCTGTTGCTATCACACTTGGGGAAATAAAACTTTCACACTGCTACCCTTTTTATACAGGATCATACTTCCATGTTCCAGCAAGGAGCGCTTGATTATTTAAGCCAGTGTTGTCCAAACTTGGCCACTTTGAGTGGACTTCAACTCCCAGAATTCCCCAGCCAGCATGGGGAATTCTG